CCCCCCCCCCCCCCGCGACGAACAGAATCATCTCTTACAGGACCAAATTCAATGCACAATCCCAACTCCTGATTGTAATACATGTTTGCTAAAGCAAGAACTCAGGTAGCTCAAGCTACAGTACCTTTCGTGACATGAGAACACTCAAGCACTGAAGCAAGGACATGACACTCATACCAGGAAAGTAAATGTTGACACAACATACCATGCGTGCGCATGAAGCCAAATTAAGCGTTCTGAAGCTTCCATGTCATCACTTTTGTCAAGCTTTCAGGTGCGTTCCCAGGCACCTGGGCTTCATCAGCTCGACCATCCACGCTAAGGCTTCCAGCTCCTCAACAAAATAGGCACGTTCGTTTTTTTGAGCATCTCACTCATCTGGTTAAGCCGGAAGCTATTTAGAAAAAAAGATGCTCAAAATCAACGCCCACATCGTCCAACAAGATTGGTTAATCACGGTCAATGTTTGGGCAGGCTGCCCATTTTGGGGAGCATTCAGCATTCTGGTATTACTTGCCGTTCAGCCGATTCTGTGAGCATTGACAAAAGTTTGGGCAAGTATATATATATATATATCCTGAATTCTAATTGGTATAAGCTCAATAAGCTCCATAACTAGAAACAAGACAAACATGCTCTGTAGTATCTGTGCAGTAGCTTTGTCCCTTACAGCAGCTGAACTGCCCACATAAGTTGCTTGTTACAATGTACTTCGTTTGTTGTTCATAGAGTCTTTTTCAGTTTAGGATCCTCATTGTAGAGGCTTACTGTCCAAAGAACAAAGGTCCACACCTTCAGGCATGCAACAGGCATGTTGTGCTGTTGTACTCATGAAGACTTTTCAGCGTGCATTAGCACTAAGTCAGTCTGATTCCCTTTATAATATGTTTTCCGTGCATCTTGTGGTCAAGCAATGTTCTGATACCACGAATTTGCTCACTGGCCTAGAGGCAACTGCAATCTCCGTCAAATCTGTGTCACTCGTAGATTTTGTCAATCGGCTCAATAAGATGCGCTTTATATGTCATGGCTACAAACCACGGATACATCCTGATCAACACGTGCTCAACAACAGTTCCTCAATGTAGCGTCAGATATTAAAATACCTGACATGGCACACTGATTTCTTCCCCTTGTCTTGCCATATCGCGTTTGTCCAAATGGTTTCAGGCTTGGGCATGTGACGTTCCTACAAAAACAGCCATGGGAGTGCTTATGATAGGTGTGGAAAGGTGATCTGCCACAGAAAAAACCAAGATGGAGCCCACGAACCCGAATGCAAACACGTTCGAAAAGCTACATATGTCCAAATGACACTCTTGTAGGACACTCTTGTGGGACACTCTTGTGGGTCACTCTTGTAGGAAACTCTTGTGGGACACTCTTACGTGACACTCTTGTGGGACACTCTTGTGCGACACTCTTGTGGGACACTCTAGTAGGAAACTCTTGTGGGACACTCTTGTAGGACACTCTTGTGGGATACTCCTGTAGGACACTCTTGTGGGACACTCTTGTGGGACACTCTTGT